GAGAGAGAGAGAGAGAGAGAGAGAGAGAGAGAGAGAGAGAGAGAGAGAGAGAGAGAGAGAGAGAGAGAGAGAGAGAGAGAGAGAGAGAGGACCAACGCTGCAACGCATAATGTGGCACATATCTTGATGAAGCAATTGACCATTTCACACCTTTGGAAGTACTCGGTGTGATCGGCATTTGTACACCGACGCTGCGACGCACGCATCATGATCAAACTAGTCGACGACAGGCCTCACCTTTGATCGGCATTTTCAATGAGCGCAGGCTCAGTACTGGCGAGTCAACGCGAGCATCTTGACCATGGTAATTGCCCGAGAAACTTTCTTGGCTTGGATCGACAGTTAATATACATAAGGTAACCTACCACACTGACGTGTTCTCCCCCTGGACCTTGATTGCTTGCTGGTCTGCTTCTGTGCGTTTGTTTATAATATGTTTTGCACCGCGTATACACTTGCACTTACCTGCGTTACATTGTGCGAACCTGTGGTGTCACTGGTGTGGGACACTGTGGGTTGTGCCCGCGACGCGGACTGCTGCCTGTTTTTTCTTCAGCTGGAGCGTGCGGGTATGGGAATCTATTGGCAACCCCTTACAAGCTGATGATTGCAGCCGGAAATCCTCCAATGTTCGAAGAGGGGTTGGGATGTGGTAGGTGTTGGGAAATCCGTTGCGTGGGCAATCCTGGATGCACGGCCACCGTGACTATCACGATGACAGATCTGTGCCCTTGTGGATCGGACGGCGTGCATTTCGACATGAGCCAGCCGGCCTTCCATGCTCTGGCCAGTGGGCCCGCAGAAGCGGAGCAGCTCGTCACGGCGGGGAAATTGCAAGGTCAATATCGGAGGTGAGTCGTGACAGTCGTCGCTTGACTTGAGGGAGGGCTCATCAAACTCTCACTGATTTATTTTTATGTTTCTTTTTCGTATAGCAGACCTTGAGCTGCGTGGGGCTAGGAAAGTCCCGCAGGCAGATGCCTGTAAGCTAGGCTGGATGATGCTTGCAGTCCTTTTCCGGGGGCCAAGTCCCACTAGCAGCGTTGAGCTACCTCAACGCCTGAATGTGGACGCTTTTGCGGAGATGTGCAGAAATGGTGTTGAGTTTCCTGAACTGCACGTCTCCACAAACACGTGCAGATTCAGGCGTTGAGGTAGCTCAACGCTGCTAGTGGGACTTGGCCCCGGGTGTAATGTACTAGACATTGTAGAGGACCTCGGCCTCTGTCATTGAAATGGTGGAATCAGTGGAATGGATTTGAATTTTGAGAAAAAGGAAAGAACTCTCATTGATTCCCCCTCTCCCCCCCCCCCCCCGCCCTCCTCTACCGGAAATGAGCATGGTCTATTGATAAGGAACGTCGAGGGTACACTCCGCTAATTGGGCACAAATTCTTTCTTACGAATTCAAGAAGAAAAGGCGAAAAGAAATTCGCGTTGCCGTTTTTAGACACATGTTCTTTCTTACAAATTCAAAAAAAAAAAAGAAGAAAAAGTTTGGGTGCCCGTTTTTTTTTTTTTTTTTTTTTTTTTTTGTTCCAATGGATCACGGATAAGATATTACACTATGAGAACAGATAGTACACTTGATCTTAGCCAAAAGGCCGGGAAATGTATGATTTTGCGATGCCCTTGAGGTATGATCATTGAGCTGACAGGTTATTCCGAATTGTTTTCTTCTGTTCATAATGAGTAACGGGGATTTGAACTTGGGTAACTTACACGTCTTGGCTCTACAGCGTCTAAAGCACCTGGCAGGATCTGTACATACACAGTTCATTGGTGTTACTGTACTTTCAAATTTCAAACGGTGAACGGCGTGAATGGAAGTAAATGCGTCATGGGTTGCCAGCCTTTCCCCCACCTTCGTCTTATTTTTTCTTATGAACTTATATATATAAAGTGAATCGATAGAGTATAACGATTTCCTTGCCTCCAACCTCCTTGGCAGCTTTCTGTTGAGCGATAAAACAGTTGCGAGACTGCAGAACCATCATCGGGTCTTCTGATCAGCGTTCCAGGTCGACTGTCTTGGTCTGCTGACTCTGCTTCTGCCACCTTTTTTTTTATTTTAAATCCCCCTTAAATTTTGGACCATTTCTCGATTTATGCGTGTCATCCTTGCGCAGGGCTCATGCCAATCTTCTCTGTCTGTTAAAAAAATAAAAAATAAAAAAATCTTCTGTCTCGTTCTAATTTTAACGGGATTTCCCGAAGGAGTCACCTTTGTTGTAACAGTTGTGTTGGTGTTTTTTCGGGGGGCGTTTTTTTTTTTTTTTTTTTCCCTGTTGGTATGCTGCTGCCTATCTCTTCTTCGGGAAGAGTTATGAAACCCCCTCGCGGCGAGACCTTTGTATTCATTTCACCCCAAACGGGGTAAAAGGTGTCGCAGGCCCCAAAATGACTTTTCCTGTCATTTTTACACCCTGGCTGGGCCGGTAACGGCCGCTGTGCAAAATGACGGGAAAGTGTTTTCCAGGATGCAAAAATGACACCAAAGGTCGTGTTTGGGCCTGCGGCACTTTTTGCCCCGTTTGGGGGGACATGAATACAAAGGTTCTCTCGCGGGGGATTTTAATAACTTTTCCCTTCTTCTTCTGCTTGTCGTTGTTGTTTCTCTCCTTCCTTCCCCCCCCCCTCTCTCCTTTTTGTCGATTCTGGTGTGTATTTTGGAAGCGTGCCATATACAGAGTCATACAGACGACTTATTTGGATTTGTATGATTACGTAGGCCTATTACCACTTAGGGCGAAGGGATCTCCCCTCTGAGCTTGTCATAAACTGGACCCAAGCTCCGATCAGCCCACTGCAAGTATCTCCGCAATGCCTTTCCTCCTCTCCCTGAGCTCCTCGTTTCAATCGATGTCTGGGAGTGCTTGTTTGCCGCTGACTCAGCTGCAGGCGCGATGAGGCTAAACCTTTGCCGCCAAACCTTTTCCGTTTTGAACTTCGAAATACTTTCAAGTTGTTGTTGCTGTCTATCACTATGAGTCTATGTACCGTGCGTGGGTGTGTTTGGGCTGTTGCTGACTTGTTCGCGAAACACTTGTTAAGGGCGTCGCCGCACGGGACACGAAACGAAAAACGAAACGATTGCATCTTCCTGCAGAAAATGGCCATGTTCATCGGTTTGCTATAAATAGTAACGAGTGTATTTTGCCACCTTTCCTGGGCAGATGCACTCGTTTCGTTTTCGTTTCCTGCGCCGTGCGGCGAGAGCCTAAGTTGTCGGTGCTCTCTATGATTGTGCTGCCTGTGCAGCGTGGGGATGTTTGAGCTGTTGTTCGCTTACTAGGCGACGCTTGACTGTGTACCGTGGATGTGCTGCAGGGTTCCGTGCGACCTCGGCCTTGGGAAAGCATTCACGGCAATTGTCCGTGCGGCGACAAACCCGAGTTTCTTATCGATTCTCATGCGGGATATTCCCGGTGCTGGGGACATCAAGACGGCGGAGTGCGCGCCAGGTGGCGGATCGACGTTCTCTCCGATGACTCAAGACTTCGGCGCTATGTACAACTTCAACGGCAAATGGACCAGCCCGGTTTCACTGCGGTTAACTCTAGGAGATGGACAAATTCTCACAGGTATCAGCTGCATTCCAGCTGCTTGGAAGCCAACCACCACCTATACATGCAAGTAGAATTGAGTGAAAAGCGAGACACTGTGATCAATCTGTTTAGTAGTAGTCGAATACTAGATAGGATCACGGAACGGCATCTGATCTTCGGTCAAAAGGTCGATTTGACGTTTTATAAGTTATAACAGATATACATTGTACAACAACTGAATGAAATGATCGGGAACCAATCCAACCAGGCTCTGAAACTCACTATGCGAAGTTACTGTAGTAACTGTAGTAACTGTAGTAACTGTAGTAACTGTAGTAACTGTAGTAACTGTAGTAACTACTGTCCAGTTCTGTATTCAACATTGTCATGGCGATTCGTGACTGACTTCATTAACCAACATTCATGTATTCATCACCGTCATCACGATTCGTGACGAATTTCATTAACCGATATCAGACAGACAGTGTACTGGTAAAACGGTATCCAAGAGTGTACAGTGTACACTGTACTATGTACTAAGTATCCAAGAGTGTACAGTGTACACTGTACTATGTACTAAGTATCCAAGAGTGTACAAAGTACTAAGCCTCCCGACCGATATCCAAGAGTGGACTAAGTACTAGTATCCAAGAGTCTACTATGTGCTAAACCTCCCGACTGATGTCCAAGAGTGTACTAAAAGTACTATGTACCAAGTATCCAAGAGGGACATATCCAAGAGGGACATATCCAAGAGGGACTATGTACTATGAGGGACTATGTACCTCCCGACTGATATCCAAGAGTGTACTAACTTACTGAGTACTAAGTATCCGAGAGGGGGCGATGTCCAAGAGTGTACTAAAAGTACTATGTACCAAGTATCCAAGAGGGACTATGTACTATGAGGGACTATGTACCTCCCGACCGATATCCAAGAGTGTACTAACTTACTAAGTACTAAGTATCCGGGAGGGGGCTATGTACTGAACCTTCCCGACCATATCCAAGAGTGTACTATGTACTAAGCCTTCCTATCCGATATCCAAGAGTGTATGCCGAAGCCTTCTGGGCCGATATCCAAGAGGGTATAAAACTGTTATTTAACTCCTGAAACAGGGCCACGTAAGTTGTGTATTGAGAACTTGGGGGCATTGAAGGCATTCTCCCTTCCTTTTGGCGGAATAAGTATGTATTATGTAATTACAGTGAGTATTACACCGCCGTAACATCGGTCCCCGACTTTCCTTTTGCTCGAGAAACACCCAAGCATTCTATAAAAATAATAAAGGTCATGCACTCATGGATGCACCGTGCCACCTCCATCATCCAGATTCCAGACGCAGAACCCCTTTCCTTTTTGGAGACGTATCATGGAGATACACCCACACTTTTCCCTTTTCGCCTGTTAAACACCCACGCACTTTCTGAGTCTCTGCCTAGACGCGTGTGCGTCACTGTGCGAGTCGAACACTCATGGGTTGCACCGGCCCACTTGCATCGTCCGACGTGATGACGCCCACATGCAGAATTACCCGGCCGCGGTGTAACTCAGGCGAAAGGGAGAAGTTGGATTTATCTCGGTACTTTTCCGGGTTTTCCCCCTTTTCGGACTCTTCCTTTTCCTTTTTTGTTGAATTGTTCTCCTCCGTTTCCTCTTGCCAAGTTGCCAGGGTGCCCCTTGGGCCTCTGCGACGCTTTCCGGATTTCTGAAGTCACGGACTTAGTCACCAGACGCTTGCTTTCCATATGGGACGCTGGGCCCGGTTCCCAGCACGTGCTGCTCCCCACGAATAGATTGAAGCCTGAAGTCTGAAGTCACGGACTTAGTCACCAGACGGACTTGGTCACCAGACACTTGCCGAGCCAAAGGAGGGGTACCAGCCTACCAGGCATAGCGTGGCAAAGGTCCGGGGACCGGGGCTGCTGCAGTCCCAGATTCCGATGGGACCAGGGACCAGGGACCCGGGTTACCAGGCACCGCCCTCCTCACCCAATGATCGAGGGAATTTGGGCCTAAGACGCCTAACACAGTCTCATGGCTCCCCCTAAGGGCCGTAACTGGGCCTAACGGTCTCATATTTATTGGTTGACGTCAACTTGACGACCTGTTCCTCCTGTATTGAACGTCTTCTCATTCCTTTTACGGGGTTTCCTGAGCAGTTTCAGTCTGTTTTGCTTTGGATTTTTGTAAATAGATTTGACGAGTTTTTTTGTGATTATTAATTGATCTGCGTTTCCTATTTTCGACGTAAATTCTCTTCATTTGCTTTGCAATGTTTGCATTACCGGATTTACCGTTGGTAGATACATTTTTTTGTTCAAGCCATCGATTCGGAAGGGTTCACAGCAGCTAATAATGGATATAATAAAATTATAATTGACTTTATGTCCACTGTTGATTGTAACTCGAACTGTGATCTTCAGATATCGTAACTTTCCGTAAGCTAAGCTCAATGTCTAGTTATGGAATGGCCTTGCCATTTGGCATTGAATTTCGTGCAATGACCCCGCATTTTACCCTTGCTTTTTCTTCGACTGGAGCTGCATTCCCCGTTGCCGTTCGTTTCAATTAACAGTACTCTTTCACCCCTTCGTTAAAGTTCGTTTTTATATTGAGTCTCTCGTGATCGCATGCACGTCCCCCATTTGTCAAAAACTCGAACCGTGACAGAGGCACTGGCCAGTGGCTCCAGAGGTAACTCTGTAATGATGCAATTAAGTCTGAATCAACGTGACTCAAGATTACCTGGGAGTCTGGGACCGTGATTGGGCTCAGGTTCACCGGCTTTGATAGCCCCACGCTCGCAGAGCCTTCGCCTGCAGCCTGCAGCCTGCAGGTGTTTCAGAGTCTTAGGGGTAAGGACTTCTTTTTGTGAATAACTGGTCCGTGCGTTTGTGTTTGTGTTTTTGTGTGTGTGTGTGTGTGTGTGTGTGTGTGTGTGTGTGTGTGTGTGTGTGTGTGTGTGTGTGTGTGTGTGTGNTGTGTGTGTGTGTGTGTGTGTGTGTGTGTGTGTGTGTGTGTGTGTGTGTGTGTGTGAGAGAGAGAGAGAGAGAGAGAGAGAGAGAGAGAGAGCTCCCTTCGGAGAGACTTCCAAAAGGATGAGCACCATTCTTGAACTACTCTTTTTAGTCTTTTATTTAATGGTGACATGCGGTTCCATTTGACGTTAGTGGCATAATGGCATTTCATTTCTGTCGGATTTATGTTCTTTGGCTGTCTGTTGCTTGGTTTCCGTATCGATCAACCTAGTGCCTTGTTTGCTCGATGGCTGAGTCCTCGGTAATGAGTCGGTATCTTTTGAGCCAAATCGCACAACTTTTTGCCGAAGCACTGTGCACAGAACGCAACGGAGAGTTACGTAGGTATGGGACATCAGACATCTCGCATTAGGGGTGTCTGTTTTTTTTTTTAACTTCACTTTCTACTAAGTTTCAGGTTCTCTGGGTTGCCGTTTCGCTCGTAACCGCACACAAGATGCATGTATCTTTTGGACAAAGACTACATTTGTTTTTTATTTCGACTTTTCAACTTTTCTCACTGCTCGTAATCACATGAGATTTCTCTCTTTTAACTTAACTTTTCGTAGCTGATGGAGGAAGAACGGTGCACACATTTCAAGATGTCGTACCAGTATGAATAAAGCCCTGCCGCCCTGCACTGGCCCACTGGGCCTGCAAGGCTGCGTTGCGCCGTTGGCAACTTGGCACGTTGGCGTACGGGCAGGAATTGCAAAGCGCCGAAAGCGGACGTTGGAAAAGAAATGTAGTGCAGTTATTGTTATTTGGGAAAAAAGGAGAGTGTCAAGGAACTGGGGGGCCGAGTGAGGTTCCATTCTGTCGCCTAGACAGAGGAGACTTGGGAAATTGGGGAGTAGTCTAGGCTAGGGAAGTAGTATAAACTTACTATAAAGTACAATAGACTATAATAGGTCTTAGTTGGTTGGGGGTTGTTTACTTCGATTTGATTTCAAGTTCCTTTTGAGGGTTTGAATCTTTGTTGCGAGGTTTTGCGTTTGTTGCTGTGCTGTTGGGGTAACTTGGGTAAGAACTCACGGTCAGTGAAGGTCAGTGAACCGAAGCTGGGTAATGGACCCAGTAAGTATTTTGGTCAGTGTAATGCGTGGTCAAAATGTTAGGTGGGGTTAGTATCGGTGTGATAATGTGGTGGTAGGGCTGCACGCCATGCACGGTGGAATCGTTGGGTTTTCAACTTTTTGCCACTTTTTGGTTGAAGTTGGCAGCTTGAGTGTGTGGAAGCGTTGGATTCGACAACTTGGAACAAATATCGAATCGGATGGTAAACATCATGCACACGTTTGGCCAACTCGCGAGTTTTGTTCTGAGGTGCAGCACGCCGAGCACGGTGGGACAGTTTGGGACACAGTGGACACACATCTACGAGTTAGCTGCATTGAAGATACTACTGACTCAGCAGAGTCAGCACTGAGTGAGAACCTAGGGCAGGTAATAACCTCAGTACTTTGTGGAATGTACGTGGCATTCGTAACATCATCTTGAAGTTCTTCATCATCTTCAATTTTGAAGATGTTGTTACTGTCTCTCTTCTCTCTCTCTCTCTCTCTCTCTCTCTCTCTCTCTCTCTCTCTCTCTCTCTCTCTCTCTGTGTGTGTGTGTGTGTGTG